GGCTTATCAAAAGCCAAATTTTTGATTTCAGCACTTAATGTTTTTGCATTCTTTGACCGTTTTTCTACTTTATTCGTTTTTTATTTATTGGTACATATACAATATTGATATAACTTATTGTTTTATTTACAATAACAAGCGAACTAATATCAAGAAGTGATTGTTAAAAAAACAACCAATAGTCTTACAAAGTCTCAATAAAGTTTCAATGTTTGGAGAAAAAAAATATAATAAAGAGGTACTAAGATTCAATTTATTTCAAATTTAGACAAGTATTTTAAGCAAAGTAATGTTTTTTTTTTCTTCATTTTCTTTTGGGAAAAATGGTTTTCATTAGTTAAAACAAAGAAATTTATAATATTAAAATAAAAAACAATAATAAACTAGAATTAATGTTTGAAAAGTCATTACAATTCTTAATTTTGCACTTAAGATTTCAAACACAGGTTTTTGGTTGTTTTTTAATGTTTATTTAATTTTACTTGGTGATCTAAACACATAAGATAAATGATCACTTTCTAATCTATGTGGTTCTTGTGTTTATTTGTATATGGGATTAAGCTGATCTAACTTTAATGGATTAGTGACACAATATTCAAATATTTAAACGATTTAAGTAGTTTTTAAACAAGAAAGTTTACATTTCAGCAAGGACAGTGTCCTGATTAGTAGATTTAAATAACAAATATTTATCCATTAGATCATTTCATAATATCATATACAAATGAGCCACGTCATGACAAAACCAACATAGTGCGTTTGCGACCAGCATGGATCCAGACCAGCCTGCGCATCCGCGCAGTCTGATCAGGATCCATGCTTTTCGTTTACAAACGCTATAACAAGTAGAGAAACTGATAGCGAACAGCATGGATCCTGATCAGACTGCGCGGATGCGCAGGCTGGTCTGGATCCATGCTGGTCGCAAACCAATTATGTTGGTTTTGTCTTGACGCGGCTCAAATTGTTTTTCAACACCTCTGACTTGCAATAGTTGTGCTTGTTGCAATCGTGATTTTGTGTTTAACTTTAAAGCTCGATAAATCGTAAAATTGAGAGTGCTTTTGTAATGGCCCAGGCGTCGGCATTGGCTTCGGCGACTGTGTCACACTTTGGGTTAAAATTTTGCGTGCACGTTGGTATCCGCAAAAGTACTAAAGGGAATGGGTTTGAAACTTAACACACTAATCTGAGAGCATAACAGTAGATTACTGCCAAAAGCTCATAACTCTAACAGGTATTCTTGATATAATTATGGTCCCTTATTAACATAAACATTCTACATTATCCAGACTTTTGTTTTACTTTCAAGCACTGATAGTAGTCGAGCACACTGTCCTTCCCACAGCTCTTGTTATTTGACACCAAAAGCCAACATTTTTTTTTGTTTTATCAAATTTTATATTAAATATATGATTATGGAATGTACAGTTTAATTCCGAATATATCTTACAAACATTCTGCAAAAAGTACATATGTACTGCATTTTATTCTTAAAAATAATGTCGAAATCGTGTTTCGAATTTCTAATTACTTTGTTTTTCACTTTCCATATTTACCTTTTCGCACATTATCATAAGACAGACCGAGTTTAGTAAGTTCTTCATGCGAAACAATCTGATTTCATTCATACTTTACTGCGTTTATAAAAGGCTTTAACATAAGATTTGAAATAATCACAATGAGTACCAGTAAATGCATGGTTATCTGCAAATCGGTTTATTTGGTATCACAAGTCTTCATTCCATTTAATTTTATCTTTGTTTCTATTTGAACATAAGTGTAAAATAGAGAAAACGCCCCGGGTCGCACCGGCTTAGGGCATAATTCAACATTTTAACAAATGGTATTATTTTGAATTAAGAAACATCTGTAGATGTGTTCATGCGGCGATTATAATGGAGATTTAAGTCTTAAGCAAAACTGCGTGAAACAGGAAAAACATGTAACAACAAAAATCTTATGAAACCTGATACATTTGTGTTTGTATATCTAACTCATTTCCTATCATAGCTAAGGAGTAGATAAAAAAATATATTCATTTAGGGTCTAGTAAATTAAAAGATTGTCCATTTTAATCAATGTAACTATTTACACGAAACTAAATGTTACTGACGCGCTTAACATTAATTATCCATGGTTGTTAATATGATGGTCATATAACCCCTCCCAACCCTTTCACCCTCCCCACTCCCCTGTATTTCTTCTTCTTCGTATTATTATTATCTATTTATTTATTTATTTATTTATTTTTATTTTCTGTTTAACTGTAAGACTTTTAAATTTCAAGCTTATGTAGGAATTCATTTATTAAATTATATAAAGCCATCACCGTACCTTTGTGTATCCCCCATGTATTTAATTATGACCTTGAGTCTAGTAATAAAAGAAATTAGTAGCACCTTTGTTTCTGACCAATAATCGATACAGCATCTACAGGAATTGCTTATTTTTCATTCTATCTTTGGTGTAATAGCGCGGTTTGTTGGTGTAACACTTTCATTGTAAAATTTGATTTCTTGAACCATTTAACGGACCATTATCACCCTATTTGGTTTTTGAATATATATTTATTCTAATGAAAGTATTTACTTGTACAATGTAAATAGTGTGTACGGCTATAATTGACTAGATGAAAATGTCCGGAAGGAAATGACGGTTTTATATGGATATATAAAGCAGGTAGGGTTATTTTTCTTTTTACCTGAACTTTCGTGACAGTTTTCATAACTTGAATCTATTTCTAATAGTGTTGTTTTTTTCCTTATATGCATAACGTGCTAATGAAAAATGCAATATTACGAAGTGTTCTTGTTTTTGTACTGGAAAACTGGAACATAATGTCATGAAAATTTATATTTACCTAATGTTTGTTCTTTTGATTTGTGAAATGTTACATTAAGCAATAAAATATAACAATCACTGTTATGACTGAAATATATAGGTAAATCCTAAATGAAATATATAGTTTCATCCAGATCCTTGATAAAATGTATAGGTAAATCTAATGAAATGTATGGGTGAATCCTAAATTAGATATAAGGGTTGATCCGAAATTAAGTATATGGGAAGATCTTAAATAAAATAAATGGGTAAATCCTAAATTAATTATATAGGTTGATCCTAAATGAAATAAAAAGGAAGATCCTAAATGAAATAAATGGGTAAATCCTAAATTAATAATATGGGTTGATCTAAAATGGAATATATGAGAAGATCCTAAATAAAATAAATGGGTAAATCCTAAATTAACAATAATGATTGATCCTAAATGAAATATAAAGAAGATCCTAAATGAAATAAATGGGTAAATCCTAAATGAAATATATGGGTAAATCCTAAATGAAATATAAAGGAAGATCCTAAATGAAATAAATGGGTAAAACCTAAATTAATTATATGGGTTGACATAAAATGAAATATATGAGTAGATCCTAAATGAAATATAAAGGTAAATCCTAAATGAAATTTATGGGTTAAACTTAAATGAAATATGTAGTTAAATCTTAAATGAGATGTATGGGTAAATCCTAAATGAAATAAAAAGGAATATCCTAAATGAAATAAATGGGTAAATCCTTAATTGATTATATGGGTTTATATAAAATGAAATATATGAGTAGATCCTAAATGAAATATAAAGGTAGATCCTGAATGAAATATATATGTAGATCCAAGATGAAATATATAGGTAGATCGTAAAAGAACATATATGTAGATCCTTATAAAATCCATTTGCAGATCCTAAATGAAATATATGTAGATCCTAAATAATATATGGAAGTTAGTCATTTTAAGTAAATACTATTCTTTTCTGAATCTGTATCTTGAAATTTGATATATTGTTGTATTTTCATTAGTTTAAGTCAATAAAAGTCTTTGAAAAAATCATACTGTCCTTGAAAGGGAATATTAAGGGATAGAGTCACACCTGCTCAATAGATTATACTTAGGTGATTTAGTATGAATATTTTATCATTTATTTAAACAATTTAACATGTAAATAGATACATTGATTAGTTTTATACAGTAAAATCTGCTGTGATCAAAGGTCGTCCAGGGGAGAGACCAAACATATCCTTTATATTCAAGTGGGCTTTATTTAAAGGTTACTTTGTTTTTGTTGCTGTTTTTACAATGAAGGATTTCGAAATTTAGCCTTTATTAACCGAATACTATTAATGCAGAGGTGATCTTTAAACGCAGGTTTGATTGCATTCGCTTATTTTGTTCATGGCAAATTCTTAATGGAAATTCTTTTTGATAGTTGATTGTTATGCTCTATCCTATTTTATATTCAGGTTTTAAACTCTTTATCGTTTTATAATATATATTTTAAACAAAATTTGCATTTATTTTGAATAGTTGTGAAAAAATGTAAATGAAATACAAAAACATTGAATGAAATATCTATTATTGAACTTCATTTGTCAGGCAAATAAAAACCGGACGTCCCCCTTTCAAACTATCGATGAGTTTCCTTTGATATTTTCCAACGACCTTTGTTTAACCTTTAGTATTTTAACTTTTTTCCCTATTAAACGCTCTAGTTTTCTTTCAAACAAAATAGACAAAATTAAACATTCAAGTTTTACTGCGTTTGTTAAAATTCAATAGTTTATCAATTTTTATGAATATCTTTTTATTTATATATGAAATTTTTATCGGTTTTTAAAATCACAATGATTCATAAATGATCGTGACTTAAATTTCCTTTATTTTCATACTTTGATTTGTCGAATGATACGTATATTAATATGCTTTATTGTTAACATTTAAGTGTTTGTAATTTTCAGTAAAGTATCATCTCTGAATTAAAATAAATGATGCGACTAAAGAGGAACAGGAAAGCGTTGGAAAATCAAGTAAAAATGACAAAAAATCACGAATTGTCCAATGTACGTAAATTCAACGTACTTCCTATTGATATAGTCGTGAGTAAAAATATTAATCATTTGAACCAATGTATTAAAACCTAATGGTTTCCGGATCGCCGAGCAACAATACCGTGTTTATGAGTTATAAGTGTTATTATTGTTAGTGTTGTTCATTTGAAAGTTTCTGAAACTGTACAATGTAATTATATTCAACATTCCAGTGAGAGAAAAAAAATAGTCTATATATCTTATTTATATTCTACAGAGTAAACGGGAACTTAAGTCTAGTTATAAAAGAAAAACAACAGTAACTTTTGTCTACGACCAATAATCGATACAACCACGGTAAGAATCGTTTATAATTCATTCACGATTGTGATGTTATAGCCCGGTAGGTATGGGATTGATTGGTGTATCAGATTAAATATATATTTCAATATAAACCAGTTTAATCTCAATCAGCATCTTAATTAATTTTAATGATAGTGTTAACAGGGTTATTACTGTGTCAAATTTCAAAATGGAATGTTTAAAAACTGTTTTGAGTTAACGACTGTTTATATACGGATTTTTAAAGCGGGTAAGTGTTGTTTATTTTTTTTATCTGTTCGGTATTATTGTATTCATTTTTCAAAAAGATTTTGAAAAAGATTTACTCAAGCAAGGACATCAATATAACAGCAACAACAATTTTATATTCATTTGCCCCATGAAGAATTTTGATAATGTTTTATATGGAACATACAAGTCTACGTAGTTTTTTTTCTTTTTGTTCTTTTTTTTTCTTTCTTTTTATTTGGGTTGGGACTGCGGGTGTGTGGGAGTTCGAGTGTACTGGGTTTTGTGTTTGAGTATTGGCACGAAATATTTATTAATCTGTCTTTGTCCGTTAATTCAAAAAATGATACCAATTGTTGTGTGTAGAATTATATATAACAACATATACTAGTAACGTCCTTCTTTTTTAAATTATTGTTACTTTTAGATATGCATCTTTCTGTCACAGGCAAAAGTATCGGACCTGGGAAGAAAAAATATGACCAGATTGATAAAAATAACCTGTGTTCATCTTAAAAGTGTCAAAAAAAAACAAACAAAAAATATATATAATGACCCCCTTTAAAAATATACTATAAGTTAAGAGAAGGCCGGAAACTCCAGATTCGAGCCTACGAGCAAGGGATTCATTTCCCGGGCCGTTGTGAAAACAATTGGCCAGACAATTAAAAAAAACTTTTATCACTATTTCACGTTTATATAAAGCTTCAAAATGAGACCAACCCCAAGTCTCTAGCCCTTCCCGTTCATGAAATATCTATCAGGAAACGAGCGACTTCGTGCTAAAAATCCTTGGTAGACATAATTGCGGCACAACAATTCGGTACGTAAACATAGACTAATACATGTATGTCAGCTGACTACGGGTCAAAATTACTTGAATTTACTAAATAATATTATTAAATACATTAAGTTGGACCACTCACAACCGTCAGTAGCATCTGATACACGCAAAATTCGAATTTCAAACCTTTCCACGGTCTTTAGATTACTTTCTACGCCATTGTCAATCAGCTGTTCGATATTTTGTAACGAGTCTTCTGATTGGCCAATAGCAACGAAAACCGGAACGTTTCACACAAGATGCAAAATGGCGTAGAAAGCGATTGAAAGACCGTGTAAATGTTTGAAACTCGAATCTCGTGTGTATTAGATGCTACTGACGGTTGTGAGTGGTCCAACTTAATGTATTTAGTAATATTATTTAGTAAATTCAAGTAATTTTGACCCGTAGTCAGCTGACATACATGTATTAGTCTATGTTTACGTACCGAATTGTTGTGCCGCAATTATGTCTACCAAGGATTTTTAGCACGAAGTCGCTCGTTTCCTGATAGATATTTCATGAACGGGAAGGGCTAGAGACTTGGGGTTGGTCTCATTTTGAAGCTTTATATAAACGTGAAATAGTGATAAAAGTTTTTTTTAATTGTCTGGCCAATTGTTTTCACAACGGCCCGGGAAATGAATCCCTTGCTCGTAGGCTCGAATCTGGAGTTTCCGGCCTTCTCTTAACTTATAGTATATTTTTAAAGGGGGTCATTATATACATTTTTTGTTGTTGTTTTTTTTTGACACTTTTAAGATGAACACAGGTTTTTTTTTATCAATCTGGTCATATTTTTTCTTCCCAGGTCCGATACTTTTGCCTGTGCTTTCTGTATTATTGAAATAGACGTTCATCAAGCTGTGCCAAAAATTTGCTATTTAATTCATTGTTCCGACAATGCGCACACTTTGATATCATCATCATGTAACAAAAGTAATAATGCATATTTCAATTGATATTATCTTATGAAGAAGTCAAATTTTTTATACTAAGGTGTTTTAGATGTAGAAATATTTCAAACTCAGAACGGTTCTTTAAAAAATACAATATCGTTTATATTAGTTCTTTGTGGATACACCTCGACTTATTAATTATCCGATATTGCTTTTATTAGCACTCAATGCCCGGCATTTTTAAATCTAATTCTCATTAACTTCTCGATAATTAGCAAAAACCGCCAAATAGATTAAAATAAATTCTTTAATATATGAGCCGTGTCACGACAAAACCAACATAATGGGTTTGCGACCAGCATGGATCCAGACCATCCTGCGCATCCGCGCAGTCTGATCAGGATCCATACTGTTCGCTATCAGTTTCTCTACTTGTAATAGAGTTTGTAAGCGAACAGCGTGGATCCTGATCGCGGATGCGCAGGCTGGTCTGGATCCATGCTGGTCGCAAACCCATAATGTTGGTTTTGTCATGACGCGGCTCATATATAGTTTTGAAATGAAAGAATAGTGCACTATAGAAATGCTTTGTCATATCGTTGTATTCGAACAAATTAATGTTTATTTTATTTTACAACTTGATTTAAAAGGCAATAAAACTGACCATTTTGATAATTTGGTTCATACTTGATCGTATTTGTAGATGGGATAAAACTGTTTGAAATTAAATGGTTATATGGTATAACATTGAAAATATTCACCCACTTGAACGGATAAAAATAATCTCATCAAGGGCGTATTTAACAAGGAAGTTTACCTTTCATATAAATGATAGACTAATCAGTATAAATATGAAACTAATGTCAAATGAAAATCGTCCATCTCACATTGTTTATTCAATAATCTACTCAAAAAGTTCTTTAGATTATTCATTTTCAAAAACAGAAATGTTCAGATTACGGTATTTCTCATATTCATGAATTAATCTATTTTTTTAAATTGAATAAATTTACATTTCAATTTTAAACTTGTAAAATACATGATTGGATCAAATATATTGGACAAAAAAAGATTTTCAGCGCAATCAATCACTATAGTAAATCTAATCGCTTCATTTCGTCTGCTTTGCATTTTGCTCAAGTTATTCAAGTTAGGTTTTTCATATTCAAGGACCATGATTTAACCTTTTGCGCTTTATTGGTATATTTTGAGTGGTGCAATTCGTTTATGAATACAAAATATTTTGAAAGATAACACATGGGTAGGTGCATTTACATAATGTTACATTGTAAATGTTGCACGTTTGTGACGCCGAGTTTCATTGGGTAATCGTGACATTAATATAAACTATATATACGACTATATTTTTTCATTTTTATTTCAAAGAAATGAAGTTTGCAAGTATTGCACATTCTATATAAAGACTTTCGAAAGGTTGTATGGCAGTTTAGAAATATTCTTTTTGTTATAATTCCCTCGCCTAGCATCTTGCGTTATATATGCAAAAACAACCGTTTATATATATTGCACTGAAGGACACCTCGAGTCTACTCCAACCAATAAAGCTAGGAAGTTGCCATCGGCCTAAAGATAACATGTGTCTGAATGAATTAAAAGTTAACAATAATTCTAGTGGAGCGCTTTACTGTGTGCTCTACAGTGATATCTTGTATGCCTCTTACCACTTTTGGCGACAAAATATAATCCCATTTGTTCTAAAACACAGCTTTTGTTTGTGAATGATAAAAAAAATGTCTTATTATTCATAAAAAAGATAGTTTTATATTTATATTTACAACATTTATGAGATATAAGCCCTCCCGCTAAGCTTACTAGGTAAAAGTATCTGATTCTTGATCCAAAAATTGCCGGTTCGATCCTCGTGAGATGCGGAATTTCTCCTAGCCAAATTGCTCTCCTACATTGTGTAAAATGGTTATGTGTTCCTTCACACTGAATTAGAAATCATACAGGATAAGTTGTCGGTGACAGGCGCAGAAATCGGCAATTACTTATAAAGGAAAGCCGATTAGATGGCATGAACGCCGAGATATGATACAAATATCAGATATGGAAGATGTTACGAGTTACCTAAATAGGTAGAGCGTTGGACTGTGAATCGGGCGACCCGGGTTCGATTCCCGGACGGCACAAGTCACTTTCGTTGTGATTTATAATGTTATCCTTTCTACAGCCATTCACACTGTACCTCTGCTCTGGCATGTACAGCAGTTTCAGTTCCTTGCGAAAGTGGAGGCAAATATTACTGGTTAACTACTGGCCAGCCTGCCCAGGAACAATCCGGTGGCTGAATTGTGCTCTGATTAATTCAGTTTAGCTTACAGTCGTGATCCCAATGGTTAACCACCACCACTACCACCATCTTACATGAGTTAACATTTCATTTTCCCGTATCAGAGTAGAACTTCTTTTAAAACTAGTCTTTAATGATCGCTGGCCATTTAAGCTGATCAGTACTTGTTGAAGAGTTTTAAGTTTATATTCGACACTTATTTGTCATTATGATAATGATAATAGAGATTTTCATCTGCGTTTTCATTTTGTACATGATGTTGAAATATAAGACAATATTCATCAAATATGCAAGTTGCAATACAGAAACGTAAAGTTACCATAATGCTTACTTGTGAATAATCTATTTGGCAATATACCCTTTATTTCAAGTTGAAATAAAGAAACACATTAAGTTACCATAATGTTAAATTCTGAGGTAACTTATTTAAATAATCTATTTTGCAATATACCACTTATTTAAGTTTTTTGTTGAGTTTCATGTGACACCGACAGTGTAAAGAACATTCGGTGATATTAATGCCTTACTGTTAGATTGAGACCTCAGGTATCCCGTCGTGAATTATTTCAGGCAGACCAGGTATACCTAAGTAGGATCATCGATCTTCTATAAGCTAGCATGGACAGCTTTTCCTCATGTGAAAGAAACCAAGATCCCTGTCAGGATTCGAACCCGCAGTGGTAAGAGAGATTTGGTCTATTTCGGTGTATTTCATTTTGAAATACAGTCAATAGAGCAATAGAGGAAAATA